ATCATGAGTTAGTTCTGCTTCGTGGCAATAATTTTTGGGTGGATTGATTTATTCTGCTAGGAAGTTAGCTACTTATTTTTATGTTGTGTATAGTGTTGGAAGGAAACTGAATTTCCATATCTTATTTTTAAGATTCAATTTGCCTTTTCAGTAATTACTGGGTGAATTCCATGAGTTTACAGGCACTGGGGAGTCTTGGCAGGTTCCTCAGGCCTTGTCATACTCATTCCTGCCGTCTTCTCCGTGTCCTCTTCTGTATCCCACCCCCTCACCGGGGGCAGGCCTGGCCTGGCGATCACTCCAGTGTAGATTATGCTGCCCTGTTAGCTCCACCACCTCCTCCCCATGTGGTCCTTCTTTCCATTTGCTCTTTTGATGGCTTCCTGCCTCCTTGTCTATCATAATTGTGCGCAGAAGTTCATGCTGATCCAGTGACACTCTCAATCTAGGAAAAGATGTTTCCTGATATTTTTGAGCATTGACACCACCAGTAACTTCAAATCCCATTTGTCTTCCCTGCAGGGTCTCCTGGTCCAAATCTTGGTTTTCTGCACCAATTCTGATGTGTCTCTTTCTGCCTTACATGTCGTCTGTAGTTGGCGGGTTTTCTTTTCCCCATTTCATTGAAATAATCACTTGTACATTCTTTTATTATTCATTGTCTTGAAAGCTTAGTGTACATTTTAAGAATAAAAGTAGACAGGTTAAGATGAATAGTATAGCTAAAGATACATACCAGCACCAAAAGCTTACTTTTTATATTTGATGAGTTGTGTTGTTTGTCTGTGAATAACGGGATGAGTAAGGCAAAGGCGGCAAGGGATTATCGGATAGAAGCCTCTCACACAGGTCCAGGCAGAAAACAGTGTGTGCTAAGATAAAGTGTAGTGGAAGAGGTGAGGAGAGACACCAGCAAACACACACACATGCATATGCATATAACTGTATATAGTTGACAGGAGATTGGTTTAAATCGTACTGTTTTCTCAGTACATGATTAGTTAGCTGGCGCATCCATGATTTAGCCTATGCATTGCAACTGTTGTCTATTCTTTTTTTTTTTTTAATACTTTAAGTTCTAGGGTACCTGTGCACAACCTGCAGGTTTGTTACATATGTATACTTGTGCCATGTTGGTGTGCTGCACCCATCAACGCATCAGCACCCATCAACTTGTCAAACTCGCATTTCATCAGGTATAACTCCCAATGCAATCCCTATCCCTCCCCTCCCCTCATAATAGGCCCCGGTGTTGTGATGTCCCCTTCCGCTGTCCAAGTGATACCTCATTGTTCAGTTTCCCACCTATGAGTGGAGAACATGCAGTGTTTGGTCTCTGTTACTTGTGATAGTTTGGCGGTGAATGATGTTTCACATGCTGCATTCGACTAAAAAAAAAACATGTACCCTAACAAAGGGACACAACTCATCCTTTTTATGTGCTGTCAATAGTTAATTTCCATGTGTATAGTGCCACATGTTTCTTCAATCCAGCTGTCACGATGGACATTTTTGATTCCTCAAGCCTTTGCTATGTGAATAGTGGCCGCAATAACATACGTTGACATGTGTCTTTATAATGCAGCATGATTATAATCCCTTTGGTATATTCTGATGTTGGGTCGATGGCTGGGGTCATATGTACTTCCAGTTCTAGTCCTTGAGGAACATGGGCCAAATATACCAACTGTTTTCCATAATGTGAACTAGTTTACAAATCCCAACAGTGTAAAAGTGTTCCTATGTTTCGTCCACATCGTCGTCTCCAGCACCTGTTTTGTTCCTGACTTTTTAATGAACTGCCATTCTAACTGGTGTGAGATGGTATCTCATTTGGTTTGATTTGCATTTCTCTGATGCCTAGTTGAAATGAGCCATTTTTTCATGTGTCTGTTGGCTGTATGCCCTGTCTCTTTGCTAAATGTCTGTTGCATAATCATTTTTTCTTGCCCATTTTTGAGGTTGTTTTTTTCTTGTAATTTGATTGGTTCTTTGTAGCTTCTGGGGGATATTAGCCCTTTGTCAGATAGTATGAATTGGGGGGGCAAAAATTTTCTCTCATTCTGTAGGTTCCTGTTCACCTGTGGATTGTCTTTTATTGCAATGTGCAGAAGCTCTTTAGTTATAGACCCGTTTGTCAATTTTTGGGTCTTTTGTTGCTGCATTGCTTTGGTGTTTTAGAATGAAGTCTTGCCCATCTGCCAATGTCTGATGTGTATTAGCCTAGATTTCTTTTCTAAGGGGTTTTTATGTTTTGAGGTCTAACATTTATGCCTCCTAATCTATCTTGAATTAATTTTCGATAAGGAGTAAGGGAAAGGTCAGTTTCCCAGCTTTCTAACTAATTTTAACTTTATTAGTAACAATATGTAACATAGGGAACGACAAAGTGCTTTGGGAATCAAATATTTTTTTATCTTTCCCCCTAATAAATTGTTAGTCTAAAATAACATGGTTTTTAACACAGTTCCTTCATCACTAGATGGTTTTTGTACAGCTTCATCTCTGTTAAGTGAAAAGAAAGTCTTAATCCACAACTTCTGATACCTCAGGAACTTATATGTAAGTTTACAGAAATAAGGAATTCCTTCGAATTGCCCCCTAATTATAGTTGTGTACACACACACAAAACACAAAC